ATATATATATATCTCAATTCTTGTATACTTCACTCTACTTATGCATAAAAAGTTATATTTATTTTTCAAAAATGAAAACAGTAAAATTTTTTTACGTGACGTGAAAGTTTTGATTGATACAAGTACAGAGGGTAAATTTTAAATGCTAGAAATGAAAATAGAATTGAGGGGCACGTACTTTAGACTCCAACAAAGGGAAAATTAAAGCAACTTATTGAAGCTGACGATGCATAGTTTCGCTGTCGGATGTATTAATTTTGAAGCCGACATTTGAACCGCAGCAGCTTCGTTAAAATAAACGAAGAAAATCTCGAAACGAGTCGATGAGCAAAACAGGCAAAAATGCCTTCCCACTTCTCTACGTTTCTTTTATGTGAGCTTCATGTGCGTCAAAGAAGGGAGAATAAATCATATATATTTTGAAGATTTATAATTTTGATATCAGATTTATTTCAAAAAAAAAAAAAAAAAAAAAAAAAGAAGATTCACGCGACTTTTTCCTCTCCAATTAGATGCGCGGTTAAGTTTTTGTAAGGAGATAAAAATTTTGTCCCTTTTTTGGTTTTTGTAACCGACTTAACAAAATTATCTGAGAATATTTTGATAATTATTTTTTATGTAAAAAAAAAAGTATATTCACATTTACTGCTCTATATTAAATGAATATTTGAATGTTTAATTTTAAATATTTCTAATATTTGTATTTCACCCATCTATATAATAAATATACTTTATCTTAGTGTATGTACGTATGTATATATATATATATATATATATGTATGTATGTATGTTTGTGTGTGTGTAATTTTATATGCAAAAATATGTTCTTAAGGTTATAATTATAGTCTATATATATATAATTATATAATTGGCAATCAATACATTCTCATCATCCAACACGAATACCAAAATAATTTTCTGAGCAAAGAACATTTAAATTTCAATTAATAATCTTCTAAGAACTCCAATTTTAGCCAACTTACAGTAAAACTGACCAGCTCAAGTGAACAATGCTCTCAATCAGTCAAAATGAATCTCAAATGCATGTATGTTATTCGACAGATGCATCTCCTAAATATGGTCATTACAACCTACAAACGTTATCGAAAGTCCCAACTTCGGCTATTGCGGTTAACATACATCATCATAGCTTGTGCAGCTCTCTACTTCGGCTTCTATGACCTTTGAACATTATCACAACTCTTGTAGCTCTCAACTCTAGCCTTTATGGCCTATAAATATTTTCTCAACTCATACAGCTCTTAACCACAACCTCTTCGGCTTATAAACGTTATCACAGTAAATGCAGCTCCTAACTCCGGTCTCTACAGCCCATTGACATTATCACAACTCATGTAGCTCTTAAGCCTGACCTATGTGGCCTAGCTACGTTATCTCAAATCATGCAGCTCCTAACTCCAGCTTCTCTGATTTATGAAATTTATCATAGTTCCCCACTCCAACCTATCCATCTAATGAATTTTATCATAGCTCATGCAACTCCTAACTTTGGCTTTTGCGACCTACAGGCGCTATCACGTCTTGTGAATCTCCCAACTTTAGCCTATGTGGTCTACAAATGTTTTCACAATTCATGCAGCTCCTAACTCTAGCATATGTGGCCTACAAATGTTATCTATCTATTGCAACTCTCAACTCTGGCCTCTGTGGCCTATGAAAGTTATCACAGCTAGTGCAATTCCCAACCCTGATCTTTATGGCTTATGGACGTTCTCACAAATCACCATTATGGACTACAAGACCAACTACAACGTACACAGTCTATTGCTTATACAGCTCCTAACTTCAGTCTCTGTGGCATATGGATGTTATTGCAGTTCCCAACTAGACCTTATGTGACTGACTACAACCTATGTAGCTCATAGCTCGTTCGACTCTCTATTCTGACCTCTATGGCCGAACAATATTCCCGAAGCAACCATCTACAACCCACATGACCAGCTATTACTATGGTCGTAAACCAGCTAAGTTTGAGTGAGCTAAGGCTTGGCTTGGGTTTGACTCGTTCAAAATTGCTTGTATTTGAAATCAACTAGTGTTTGAAATTGGCTCATGAACAGTATGTTCTTGTTCGACTCAATTTAAATATTCTCGTTCATGTTCGACTTTAAATTGACTTGTTTAAATAAATGCATGGTGTTAAATTCGAGCATGCACCAACTATGCACAATATAAGGCATAAAACAACATGACCACTAGAGCTGTTAAGATTTAAACCTAAATATAAATACATAATATATTATTATATAAATAATATTTATAATTTCTTTAATACGAGCTAAAACGAGCCAAACACGACTGAAGAAGGGTTGTCTGTGTTCGACTCATTTATAGTTTGAGCTTAAAAAAATTATTCATTTTTAGCTAGTAAACGAGTTAAACACGAGCTACTTAACGAGCCGAACGTAAGCTGTTCACGAACAACGAGTTCTTTTGATATCCCTATACTACCATGACTTTCAACTGCGCCTCTAAGACTCTTATGGATAAACTACTACAACATTCACAACAGACTACTGCTTTCATAGCTATCGACTACGACTCTTGCAACATGTAATCGCCAAGAACTACATTTATTACGGCCAAATTATGACTTTTATGGATAAACTACTACTGTACATCACAATGATCAACTTCATAACTTCAATTTTCTAATTCGGGAGAAGAGTGGACGTATGTACTAACCCTATGGATTATTTTAATTTGGCTAAACCCCATTATTTTTTCTCTTTTTGAGAGTTTTCCAAGTATAAATCTAAGAGCCTACTCTTACTTGCATCCTTTTAATTAAGTGAATGTATGCTAAATTTTCGTATATTATAAAGCTATTTTAAATTGAATTATATGAGAGAGAGAGAGAGAGAGAGTACTGATTATATATTGTCTAAATTTTATCTGAATTATATTATCTCGCTATAAATATATAGGTACTGATATTATTTTTGATATTGTTTTTTACTTACATTTGCCTCTCATTTCGAATCAAAGCTTTACCTTGAAGAGAGAGAGAGAGAGTGAGAGGGAGAGAGGACAAAGATTGTGAGAACGTGTGGGGCAGAGCTCAGCTAAATCACGCGTTGCTGTAAATTAGAGACGCAACAAGTAAAGTAGCTCTGCTTCTCGATATAAGGAGGAAGAGCCAAAATATTCCCTCTCCTCTCCCTCTCCCTCTCCCTCTCCCTCTAACTTTTACTGCTCAACGTAGGGAGTTAAGGACCCTTCTGCTTGCTTCATTCCTTGTGTTAGCATCGCTGCATTTTTTTTTGGAAACCTTTTTTTTTTCTTAACTGGGTTTTGATATTTTGCATGCTGTGATACCCGTTTTCTAGTTAATTTGAGCTGGCATCAACTTAAGCATTTTGAGAAATAAGCTCTTATGGTAGGAAAAATTTCTGATCTATTTTGTGATTTTAGAGATTTGAGAAGGAAACCACTTGCTTCCAGTTCATAAGTATTCTTTGAGATTTATAAAGTTCCTACATTCCACAGATCTAAGAAAGATACTCCATATGTACATATAAATTCACTTGAACAACCGGTGCAGTTGCTAGATTGATTAAAAAAAAAGGTTTTTTTTTTGACATGCTAGGATATTTATCTGCAGAACATGGTTAAAAGATGTAGGTTTTTTTTGAGTTTTTTTTATCACTATCAGTCGGCTACTTATAGCAAAGTAAAAATTTATTGGTTGCCCTTTTCAATGTTTTTATTTTGGTAAAATTTTGGCCGATGTCCATTATATCATATTCTGCATTTTTATGCTCAGGCTTCGACAGTTTAATTAGAGAACATTTTAAGTTTAGTTAAAAATGTTGTTTTTTTTTTTTTTTTTTGTTTGATGCGTTGCTGCTGCTTGCAGAATGGGAAGTCATAATCCAACCATATGGATGCATCCATTTATCTTTGCACTTTCAACGGTTCTGCTGACCTTCACAGTGATTGCTAAAGCTGTGGATGTAACTTTTGTTGCAAATGCTGTTCAGAAAGGGGCAGGTCTGATTTTTCTTTTTTTCATCTTTTTTTTTAAGCTGTTGCACTTATATCCTTATAAACAAATTATTATTATTTTTTCCTGGCTAAATACTGATTTTTGCAGTTTTTTTTTTGAGAAATTTTGCAGTTTGTTTGGATGGAAGCCCTGCAGCTTATTATTTCTCCCCAGGTTCTGGTTCAGGCGTGAATAACTGGGTCGTTCACATGGAGGTACCATACTTGTGAAATCATCAATGAAACATTAAATAAAAATGAATTGAAATTTCCCTTGATTGGTGTTGAATCCAAATCTGTCTGAGAGACTTGCCTAAGGAATAGAGCAACAAGGGATGAAAGAAAAGGAGAGATACCACAATACAAAATAACAAATTTGCCTAACCCTTATTCATGAAATGGACATTCTATTTATAGGAACGTCTTTTTACATTTACATATTATATCCCTAGAATACCTAGATAGGGGTATTTTGGTCTATATGTGAGCGTCACCCATGGAGCCCATGGATGCGGGCGAAAACTCGTTAGATTGTGATACTAGATCTGGTGGCTACTAGGTCGGGAGGCTACTTGCTAGGATCCCCATCAATAGTCTTGGTACCTTGGGATTCGCTTTGCTTTATCGATTCATCTGAGTTGGTGGGCTCGCCTGGGGAAACCTAGTTAGGTGGGGAGCGATACACCCCTCGTTTGCCTAAGATGGACCAACTTCCAAGTTCATGGGAACGACCGACTGGGTGTGAGGTCATTGGATTGCCTTAGGTAGATCCCGCGGGACCACGTTAGCTCCTTTGTCATCCGTGAGATGTCTGTGCGATTTGTGCTACAATGTTTTCGATCTACATAATAAAGTTTCCCGATTTTCTTACTTATTGATAGCGACAACTGCAATAACGACAATGAAGTCTTAATTTTCCAAATAAGTAATAACATTCATAACTATTTGATGCGCAATAATTAATTGATTCTTGATTTATGTGCCTAAGTCATTGTAAATGTGATGGGTATTTATCTTATGAGCTTTCTTTCAAATTCACTTCTCATATCCCTTGTGGTGCTGATCATGGAAAGGGGAAAATCTTCAAAGTCCGCCGGCGAGGAGGCTTATGCCTTGGTAGCCCTGGCCATGAGGAAGAGGGAGAGATCTAGCTATAAGATCGAATGACTTGGAAAGCGTGCGGTATCGAAGGTGAGGGTTCCTGATCCTGTGGTAGAGGGAAGATCTTCTGACTTGAATAACGTTCGTTCCATGGAAGGTTCTTTTATGGCGGAGGCCAACTTTCCAGTGAAAAAGCATTGTGTGGTGGGGAGTAGTCCTCCTCCAACCCTTCTAGAGTTGAGGGAGGGGCAAGGTCAAGACGCAGCTTTTGGCCTTCCTCCAGATGCTCATGCAACAGATGAGCGAGGAGTTGTTCCAGACCCCTCAGTGATGAGTGCCTTCCTGCCTGCCTTTCAACCTTCGTCGGTGGGAAAAGAGATCGGTGTAGGAATGTGCTCCTTCACCACCTCCAATTTGGACTGGATGATGGATCCATTTTCTTGCGAATGCACCAGGACTTCTCCTCCTGGCGAGTTGAGGGCTTCTAGGATTGGCATCGTTGTGGGATTTGGATCCACCAAATATCCTCTGTGCATTGAGGGGACGTTCCTCGGCGAGTCAGTGAATTCGACGGGAGCGACAGATGTTATGGGGCCATCTGAGCCGGCTCTGGCTTCGTCTTTTCAAGAGTGCAATCTTCTCAGTGACGTGCGGATAGGGCGGTTGTAGGAGTTAGCAGCTGTCCGGGCTCGTGAGGCCGCCCTTCAGGAGGAGTTGGCGTCGCTGAAGGCCGGATTAGGTGCTGTCCAGGAGGAAGTTTCAGTGTCCCGACTGTGTTTCGAAATGAATAGGGTAGATAAGGTTAGGATAGGGGCGAATTAATGTTTAATCTTCAAGCGGTTCTCCAAATTTGGGTGTGTCCCCGCTGCGATAACGACTGACAGTTTTGTCAAATTTTTTCTTTCCAAGTGAATAATTATAACTGGGCGGCACAGACTTAAGTGTATTTTATTTTTGTGCATTTATACATATATGTTATTTATATGTCTTGTTTCCCTTTGAGTTTATCGTTATGTGTATTTGATTTAACACTTTTCCTGCGCTTTGTTGAGACAAAAGTACTGTATTGTCCCTATGACGTTTTGACTACCGCTATAGGCTATAAGACTTGTGAGACGAACACTTGACTCTTTTCTCTCCCTTTTCCAATTTGCATTACTTTTTTACTCTCCCACCTTATTCTCGTTATGGCTCCCAAGTTCTTTTCCAAACTCTTTGGTGTAAACTCGCCCAGAGTGTTGTCAGTCATCTCTGAAGGCAGACGGCGATGTTATTTAGATCGTGCTCCTTTGGGCCAAACGTGTTGATTTGGACGACTGTTAAGGGGGAGTCATCATCAGGCGATTACGGAGGCAGCTTGGTTGTGTACGTGGATCAATTCAGGTATGGGTTGAGGCTGCCGTTTTGTAGTGAGATGAGATATGTTCTTAATAGTTACAATATCATTCCGGCTTAGGTTACACCCAACTCCACCGCGATCATAATGATCTTTGTCCTATACCTTCAACGGGTGGAGGTTCTGTGATCGTTAGAGCTTTTCACGTATTTCTTTGGCTTCAAGGTCAATCGGGACGGCTATGCCATGTTCTTGTTCGGTCCCAGACTCTGGGTATTAGGAGTCGAGAAAAAGATAAAGAATTAGCGGTCCAACTTTGTAATTGCTTTTCATCGTCAAATTTGGGAATTTTTCACCGGCCTGTTACCAAGGCAGTATTGAGGCCGAAGATACTATATGAGCAAATCCTTGTTTTTACAGATATGTTCGAGGGGGACAATTTCTTCTTGTTCGAATTTACCGAAAGGGATGTCGTGGATAGGGTCTTGTGGCCCGAGATCTCTGAGGATATGACTGAGGTTCTGTGGGAGGAATCAGATGAGAGGGAAAAAGAAAGGATCACGGTGGTAGCAATGATGCCCGGAGGGAAAAAAACTCAGGGCGAAGATGCCTCTGGTGAGGGAGGCCCATCCGCTAGGCTGTTGAAGTCTTCGGGCAAATATGGTGTTGGTAAGAAAATAGTTTCCATTCTTTCCATTCTTCCTCCTTTTTCCTCTGTTTGGCCAGGCAGCTACTTGACAGGGTCCACATCAACCGTCTTGTAACCGGGGTATCCACTTCACTTTCTCGATTCATCTGAGTTGGTGGGCTCGTCTGAGGGGACCTGGTTAGGTGGGTTCCTCAAGTGCGATCCATCCCTCTTCTATTTAAGACAAACCGCCTTCCTGCTTTGTGGGACCGACCGGCTGGGTGTGCGGTTTTGCATTGCCTTTGGCAGATCCCGTGGGACCACATCAGCTCCTTCGTCATCTATGAGACATTTTTGCGATTCGTGCTAGCATGTTTTCATTGTACAATTGGGATTTGAAATGAAAAGTAATCGAACCAGAATTTTTTGGCGCTATATGGTAACGGATTCAAGTGGAATTTAACTTAAATCTGCCACCAGAAAAAAAGGCAAACTTAAATCATTTATTTAGTAAATTCAGTTTCTTCTCGATTCTTCTCAATTTTTTCTTAATTCTGAGCTCCAAGCATGATTTAATAAACCCAGATTTACAAGATTTACTAACATTGTTACGAGAGCTCCAAATTTGCTTTTTGGACCTGATGAAGCAAAATTATAACTAAATCATGATCATGATGTGGGCGCAACAATGAATTAATGCAGCATTATGTGCTTAGATTGGTCTTCTTTTTTTCAGGGTGGAGGATGGTGCAGCAATGAAGAGGATTGTGTAGAACGCAAGAGCAATTCTAGAGGTTCTTCTACGAATTCAGTGCCGATGTCATTTTCTGGTATTTTGGGGAGCAGCCAAAAGTCTAATCCAGGTGTGGAGATTAATTCTTTCTTCATGATACCTAACCTGATTTTTTTCATTATTTTTTTAGTAATTTTGTAATGAAGTACTTAAATTTTAATTTGTTCAAAAAAATTAACCTCAGATAATGAGCTTTAGGTTAGGTTCAATTATGCCAGGTTTTTTCTGGTGTTCTGTTCATAACTCAAAAGAAATGGGATCTTGCATTGAGTTCTTACGTAACTTCACAATTTATATGCAGATTTAACCATGGTTAAAAAAATAGTCTCATTTGGGATTTCATCTTGATTAAACTTACACTTAATTCGTATCTCCATATAATTTTAAAGAAAAAAGAATAATGAACTGTGGATTTTCTCTTCAGTCGTTATTTTATGTAACTTCAGGTTTTCTTCTTATTCTCTCTTGCATCGTTTTCTTTCTTTTACAATCTGAACTGTGGATTTTTGCAGGTTTTTACAATTGGAATAAGGTCAAGGTTCGATACTGCGACGGTTCATCTTTTACAGGGGATGTAGAGGCTGTAGATCCTGTATGCCATTCCCATATTATCCCTTTTTTTTTTAATAGAAATTTACATAAATACCACCAAAATCTATGTATTTACAATATCTAACACCTAAACTTCAATTTCTACATGCTTTATCTATGCATGAAAATATGTATTTCACTTTTTAAAATTTAAAATGATGATATTTTTTATGTGATACGAAAGATTTGGGCAGTATAATTGTAAGCCAACAAAGTTTAGGTGCTAGATATGTAAATACATAAGAATTGTGTTGTATGAATGTAAATGACCTCCTTTTTTATTTTTTTCCTCTATCTATTCCCTCATGCTCAAGAGCAAAAGCACTGTAACTTCAACTACAGTTTTCTCATTAAATTTATTCAGTAAATATGAAATTTGATATTGCAAACTGTGCAGGCGAAGCGTGTTTTCTATAGAGGATCTAGAATTTGGTTCGCCATTGTGGACGAACTACTAGTAAAAGGGATGAACAAGGCACAAAATGTATAGATTTCTATGAAAAAAAGCTTTTAAATTCATTAAATGTTGCTTGATTTAATCTCTCTTAAACAAAATGGCTACAGGCTCTTCTTTCTGGTTGTTCTGCTGGTGGGTTGGCATCCATATTACATTGTGACAAATTTCGCGATCTTCTTCCTTCGACGACAAAAGTAAAATGTTTCTCCGATGCTGGATTCTTCATTAATGCGTGAGTTCTCGTTCCATTCTATAATATTTATATTATCCAAGTAATGTTGCTAATTTGAACTGTAGTTTAAAAGTATGAGAATTTAATATTGAAAATTTACTTTGTTTCCGTAAAGTTCTTATATATTTACATATTTAACACCCAAACTTTGATTTTTACACTTATGTCACCTTGATGTCAATATTGATAGTGGCATTTTTGATGTGATGTTAAAGATTTGGGTGGTATGGATAAATGTGGGAGTTTAGGTGTTAGATATGTACAAACATAAGAATTGTGTGGTCTGTATGTAAATTTCCTTTATTTGTAATGGGTAGAACTGCGCTGCAACTGATGAACTTATCATTATTTATGTCAGGAAGGATATTTCTGGTGTAGAGAGAATTAAATCATTTTTCGAAGATGTCATGGTTACACATGTATTTCTCTAACTCCTCAATTTGTTGTGATTTCTCTACCAGTTCTCAAATTTATTCTAGTTTTACACAAAAATTTTAAATTTCTACATGTCTTATTTGAAATATGTTGAATTCTCAATGACAAATAATATGATTCTTAGCATACTTACTTGAAGTTTTTTTTTTTCAGGGATCTGCAAAAAACTTGCCAGCATCTTGCACTGCTAGATTGCCACCAGGCCTGGTACGTAGTAACAACTTCTTTCAAAATTTATAGAATTAGAATGTTTTTCAAGTCTAATTCTCAATGCAATTTACATTTTTGCAGTGCTTCTTTCCACAAAATGTTGTACCAACATTGCGCACACCACTCTTTGTACTCAATGCAGCTTATGATGCATGGCAGGTGATTGATTTCATCACAGCGATTTCCCTTTTAGCTCAAGCAATATTTTGCATTTAGATTGTGATTATCATTAAATTTTTTTGCATTTACATATCTAACACCTGAACTCTATGTTGAATTCCAAATTGCCTTTTGCAAACACACACCTCGAGTTAGAGCTGAGTGATGGATGGAGAGAGAGAGAGAGAGAGAGAGAGAGAGAGCAGTGCAATAGAATTTTATGGAGAGGAGTGGAAGAAAGAAGTCCCTTTATTCACCGTTAGACTCCCTATTTATAGTTTCTTACATAGTTATGGAAAAGGGGACGGTTATGGAAACCGTTCTTAATACAATTAATGTGCTAATTAATATCAGATTTACATATAATTGGAATGTGATACGACGGCGATTGGCGGATTGTTGTGCTTCGTGATGGTCGCTTCTGCTGAGGTAGATTTGTCGGCTAGTCACGATCTGTCGGCCTTTCAGGAAGTCTCGGCAGTTGGAGCACTAAGGAAGTCCGCCCGCTGGATCCATCACTACTGAAGGTCGATTGACTCGATCGGGGTGTTGGTCTTTGTATGACTTGTTCGGATTAAGCTTCTTGAACTTCAATGCTTTGATTGTTGAGCCATCATTTTTAGTCATTTGATCGCTTTGTAATTCGTGCCGACAATTTTTGTGCTTTTTACCTTTATACCAATCAAATCTTTCATATCACATAAAAAAATACCATTATCTTAAATTTTAAAAAAGTTAAATACATTTTTTTCTAGCACAGGTAATGTGACATGTATGTAAAAACTGAAGTTTAGATGCTAGATATGTAAATACATAGGAATTCAGTGGTATGTATGTGAATCTTCCTAAATTTTATCTATGTGGCATGAATGATGTTTATATTCATCTAAAGAAACAATAGATTAGGAAACGTAATCATCATATGACTATTAACCGCCTTTCGCTGGATTTCAGATAAAAAATATTTTAGCACCATCATCTTCTGATTCAAGCGGTGCTTGGAAAAAATGCAAGCTTGATATTAAGGCGTGTTCGTCGGCACAATCTCAGACCATTCAAGGTATTTTAAATGAAAAACGAAATTGTACTGCAAAAGCTAGATAGTGCGAGACAGTTATGTTTTGCAAGATACATGTATTTTATTTTTTTCATGGGAAAACCTCAAGCTAAAAAATGAAATATTGGGGCAGGTTTTAGGGCGGAATTCCTTAACGCTGTTTCCGGGCTTCGAAACTCTTCATCAGCAGGATTGTTTATAGATTCTTGTCACGCTCATTGCCAGTCAGGAAGGCAAGCTGTCTGGTTAAATAGTGGCTCTACTGTGGTAGATAATACTGTAAGCTTCTCGAACCGAGCTTTTCGTCAAATTTACATATATTTGTTCAACCTTGCATTTTTTTGTTTTATGGCGTTTACATGTCTAACTACTCATATTTATGTGTACACCACTCAAAATCACATCAAGAATGCTATCATCATTATAATTTTAAAAGGGACATCTCTTCATGCATATTAAATGTAAATATTGAACTTTAGGAGTTAGGTATGTAAATATATAAGAAGTGTGTGGTATATGTGTAAATTTTCATTTATTTTTTTTATACTAATTATGATCCTGATTTATTCATATGTTTCATTCCGAGGATTGCTTTGCAAAAAGTTGTAGAACCGAATAATTGAGATGACCGTTGCCGGTTGAAAGTAATTTTTGCTTGAGAAAATAAATGGGAATGTATTACAGTCGAATGAACTATGAACCATGTCGTAGTTTTAACGAGAAAAGCATTGTTTTACTCTGCCTAATTTGAACACCTGGATAGCAAATAATTAAATGTGAAATGAATACAAAATGCATTTGGATTTATACATTTATTATTATTATTTTTTTTCATTAGTTATGTGTTGATGCAGTGTAAAAAATTTGTACTGGGAATTGGTTTATGGGATTCCAGGCCAGTTTTTTTTTTTTTTTTTCAGTAGGTATAAGGTAAATTTTTATTATAAGAATGATAGCCGATAATTTACAATATATGTGACTCGAACCTGTTAGTTTTGAAGAAACATATTTTTCCTGCAAACCATTGGGTCATGAATCCATTGGGTCATGAATCCTTTAAAAATATTGAAGAATAAGATAGAAGATGATATAAATCTTCAATCTTATTTCTTATTTCAAACTTTAGAAAAAGTTATGTATTTATCGGTGCTAAACAATCAATTGTCAGTCTTAATTAAGAATCAAATTTGGACATAATTAACAATAATAAAAAAGGAAGCACAAGTGTAGACAGGTTGTTGAGTTGGATAATCATCTTGTGGTTAATTTAGTTAATCATCTTGTGGATAATTTTGATGGGACACACAAATTGCTGCGATAGACAATTATCATAAGATTGAGGATTAAAACTCCTGCTTATCATACTATTTTGGTAAGAATTGATTTTTTTTACCTAATTTTTGATGGTTTCACAACTTTCTAATCCTATTTCCTCTTAATGAAGAATCTATTTACGTTAATGTGCTTTGTTATGCTGAGTTGAATTATAGGCTATATCATATGCTCTTTTGTTGACTTGTTATAGTTGAAGATTATATATTTTTGGGATAGCCTAAGCCCGATAAAAGAAATTTTAAGTACTATTTGTTTCTTACTTTTCTGTATAATTAAAGTCTCACTTACAAAGGTAAAGTTATCCAGAAGTTGACAGTCTTTCTTTTAATTAGACAACATGGATTATTGAGATAGACATAAATCATTGGGACTGACATGATGTTTCATTCAAGCCCAACATTCTAAATTTTTTTTTTTTTTAGGGTTTAGTGAGTCTCATATTTCCTGATCTTTCCGTGAGTTGTGCTTCTCATGCATGTGGGGCCCACTAGGTCCCACCATGCTATATCATTTATAATTGGAAGCTTGCTTGTAATAGAAAGTATGATTATTAAGGAGCTATTTGGTTGGATAAATTAGGGGTGCATTGCATTGGAATGCAGTGATTTTAAAAAAAATTGATGTTTGATTTAATGGAAATCTGATGCTGAGTGAAATGCTAGTGTTTTTCAAACTCACTCTCTAGTTCAATTTATGGTGTATTCCAAAGTTGCCAAATTTGGTCGAGCACCAAATACATTGCATGATGTGGCATTGTTGGCTCCCACCCCCACCACTGCTTGCAATAACTCGTCTTCGTCGCTTGTGGTCGTCCATGTCTGTCCCTAGATGCCTAGCTTTCACGGCAGCAAGCCACCGCTGCCACCGTTGGCCAGCTTGCTGGTCATTGTTTCCACACGTGGCCAACAATTCCATCACCTGACACTAGTAAGGCCTTCACTGTTGTCATTGTCCGTCTTTCACTACCCCGTCATTTGGGCTTTACATTAATTTCATTTTACTTCAAATCAAATACAATAACATAATTACATGTAGTTTTATTGCATCGAACCATACAATGTAAAGCATAGCAAATACATTTTGTTTCAATTACACTGCATTTGTTTTTTAACAAATCTAATGGCTCCTAAATGTAAAGATCCATCATCAAATGGTTGGAGAATTTTATTTCTCAATCATTCTAAAATGAATGAACATTAATTATATGCAAATTTGTTATGCTATGTCTCATTTGATTGCTTGCAAATAAATAAGCTTTTTTTTTTTTATAAAGGGGCATTTACATATGTAGCATTTAAGACACCCAAATCTTTCATATCATATAAAAAATATCACTATTTTAACTTTTAAAAGTAAAATATACGTGTAAAAGTTATAGTTTAGGTGTTAAATGTGTAAATACAAAGAAATTAGATGTCATGTACGCAAATCTCTATTTTTTTAATGATGATTTTATTCACTTATTTGAGCATGAAAAATGAAATCACCGTGTGAGACAGCTTTGAAAAAAATTATGAAATTTAAAGTTACTTAACGTCTAATCTTATCTAATTAAATGATATATTTAATAAAATTCATCATTTTCTTAAGCATGATTCCTAACTTCAATGAAAAAAATGAGTTCTATATTTTAATCTATGTTTTTGCTTGGCGCAGCAAATAGGAAAAGCAGTGGGAGATTGGTTCTATGACCGGGCGGCCACTAAGCTGATCGACAGCTGTTCTTATCCTTGTAACCCCTCATGCCATGATGTCGCCGATGATTCCTAGAATTATTGAATTTTAAGCCGCGGAGCTGATTGAAATTAATAAATTATTTAGCCTGAGGAAATAAGCAGAAATGTCAATGGTATGAAAGAACATTGAGCAGCTTTCTACGCTTGCTATTAGATGCAGTGTTATAATTAAGTAGTTAACATTGTCACGATTTATTGACATTAATAAAAGCCTATTTAAGAAGTGAATTTGTTAACATTAATTATTTTTTGCTTTATTTATCTCAATATATATTCATAGCTAAATGCAAACTTTTTCTAGGGATTTTGACAGCCCATTGTGTAGATGGGAGTTCCAGTTCTTTAATTAATCCAATTTATTAAGCATCCCAATCTTCAGTAAATAAATAAATAAATAAATAATTGATGTGGTAGTCCTAAATCCAAAGGACTTTATACGTTTGACAAGCTCAACCGTCGATCATCGATCAATTTGCTATTTGAGTAAGTCTAGCTTCCCTGGTATAGTGGGTGTAAGAAGAATACTATTGGATAAGAGTTTATAATATTTTATGATTTTTCTTGTTTGTTTTTGCTATCATCTAAAATTGAGAAAAAAAAATCATATTTAAATTGTGGTAGTAATAATAATAATAATCGTACAAGCATATTGATCGATTTTATAAATTTTGTTTACTATACATATTAATTCATATGAATTGCTTTGCTTACATTGTGTTATATGATTCGTGTTAATTTTATAAATGTCGGATATGTAGTATTTTGCTTAAAGCTGGCCAAGTACATGTATTGTATAGTCCTACGCAGGAGGATGAGGCAGCGAGTTTTCCTTTAAACATGGGCTTAATTATAAATCCAATGACATGGTAGAGAGGCTTAACATTGACTTGATACTGATATTAGTTAACCGTTGAATGGACATGACTTCAATATATGTACATCTCAATATTGATGTAAATATTAGAACGATATAAAAAAACACAGCAAAATATTATATAATTAGCTAATATATCTTTCTTCAATGAATATACAAGTAAAATATTGATAAAGATTACTCGTCATATAGAAACCCTGCTATTTGATATGGCGTAGATACAAATTTTATTAGGTCATACTAAATTTGATGTCATCTACAAGTAAAATATATCAAAATAGTTATATCATTTATGTATAGTTATGCAAGACAAGTGTTGATTATAATATGATAATCAATAAACGTGCATTTTTTTTTAATTAATGCATGGAATTCAATAGGTTTTGTTAGTAGCCTATTGCTCACCCTACAACATTTCTATGTTTTTGGGCTCAGTGACAAGTAGGGTTATGGTTGAGTAGTATCAAATGTTTGCTTTTAGTGGTTGTATTTTTGGTAGACTATACATAACCACTTTTATAACAATGATTGGTTGTAATTCATTGAAATGAATTGAGACACCATGATTTTTGTATCTAAGTTCATTGATGTAAATAAATCAAATACACAATATAATTATGATTAATGATTTTCGTACATATATCACTCCTTGATGGATTATTAATAGCTCAATGTAATGTTTTTCTATTTGGATCTTCTCTAAGTTTCTTCCAAAAAGACTTGAATATTATGGAGAATTATGTGTTAATAGCATATTTGACGATTTGTCAAATTTAGAAGGAGCCATATCTAGTATAATAGTGATAATTTTAGCAATAAAACTAGTCAATTTTAATATTTTACCCTTCTTGCTCAAATCTGAAAGATTAATGCATCAAAAATTTGATATCAACTATTAGGATAAAAATAAATTTTGAAAAAAAACAAACAAAAATGAGAGAATATATATATATATATATATAACTACAAACATAAGATATAAATTTATGTGATTTTATAGGGTCCACCTATGTTTGTGACAACAAAGAAATTACATAGTCTAATAAGCTTTAAAGGGGTATATGACGAGACTTGGCTTCCTATAAAGTTTGAGATAATTGCAAAAGTATCACCTTATCTATGTTAATGAGTGAAAGAGAACAATTCAAATGAATATCTCACAACCTACAAAAAAAGAATAACCATATGGTTGAAAACCTCAATCCAATATTTTTAATAAAGAGAAGACCTTAATTAAAGCTTGTAAATATTTCATAATAAAAAAAATTGATTCCTCAATTTTAAAAATGACCATGCAACTGGGCTACATGTTCTAAACAATAATTTAAATATTTTCTTTCTCAATTTTAAAAGTCGAAACTACTAACTCATACATGTATCTAAACAATAATTTAAATACTTTCTTGCTCAATTTTAAAAGTCAGAACTTCTAACTCATACATGTATCTAAACAATATTTTAAATATTTTCTCGAAATACATGACTCAGGAAGAATGAATGAATATATATGACTTCAAGGTGACATAATCATGTTTGTTTTACAGTATAGACTATGACCCATTGCAGATAGATCTCACATTACTATCAAGTTACTCCGTTCATTAGAGCGTAGAAACAATATCACACAAATTTCTAATTTAGAAATGATTACAAATATAAACGTCATTAAACTAAGCTCACTAAAACAACCCCCCTATAAATATTTTTTAAGGTTATATAAGACTCAAGACTATGTACATACCCTTCTAATCTCCGAGCCTATCAATAAAATAACTCCTATTTCTCCTTTACAAGCATCCGCAATGCAGGCGAGAAAATATGAAGAATATACCAACTTACCAAATATTTTGTTCTTTCAGGAATTAAATGAAACATAAGTTACCTCATCCACTGGTGTTCGGTGTCGTCTCCATGCTCAACCATCCCGTCGTTACAGAATTTGGCGAGTGAGGTGGGGAGCTCTTCAACAACCGAGCTTCCTCTTTGACTGCAGCATTTACATTCTCACAACTCCCATTCTTCCTGCCGCCGCTCTCTATTTCTGTTAGAACATCAAGAACATCCTTAATGCTTGGCCTCATCTCCCTATCAGTCTGCAAGCACTGGAATGCCAGCTCTGCCACCTGGTTGATCATCCTGCTTATGTTGTAATCTGACTGATAACCCAATTTTTGATCCACAAATTCATGTAACTCCTGTCTTTGGATCTTGTCAATGGCCATTTTTGCCAAGTTGATTTCGTTCCTCTGTCGAGTGACATCAACAGCGGGTTTTGATGATATGAGCTCCATGAGTACTACTCCAAAGCTGTACACATCGCTTTTGTCGGTGAGCTGATAGCACTGATGATACTCTGGATCGACGTATCCTGGCGTGCCTTGCGGGGCGGTGGAAACGTGTGTGGCGTCGAGTGGGAAGAGCCTTGAGAGTCCGAAGTCTGCAACCTTGACATGGAAGTTGTTGTCGAGAAGGAGATTGTTGGTCTTGATATCGCGGTGAATGATCTGTGGCTCAACAGAGTGGAGATAACGTAGGGCATCAGCTGTTTCGATAGCAATGGTCATTCGTACTTGCCACGGGAGGAATGATTCGGATGCCCGTGAGCCATGGAGGTGGTCTGCAACTGTTCCATTGGGCACGAATTCGTAGACAAGGAGGAGCTCTCGGCTATGCCTGGATGTGCAGCCGTAGAGACTAACAAGATTATGGTGGCGGAGTAGTGAGAGGATATTAACTTCATTCATAAACTGCTCGACGCGCCGATAGTTGGTCTCATAGAGGCGCTTCACTGCAACTACACGACCGTCTCGCAGCTTACCTTTGTAAACTGTGCCGAAACCTCCATCACCAAGTTCTCTGGAGCCATCAAAGCCATTGGTGGCTTCATAAAGCTCATCATATTTGAAGATGGGAGCATGCAGAGAGGAACCGAGCTCAGGGTCTGATTTGGAGAAGGGCTGGAAGGAAACAATTCTATTGACAGTGGAGGTAGAGCCCCTCCTTTTCTTCTCCTTCTTGTACATGAGGAAACAAAAGGAGCTGACAATGGCTGCACTAAAGCCACCGGCTACGCTAATTCCTGCAAAGTGAAAATTTAATGAACTACAAGTCTTTAAATCCACATATTAGGATTATTCTTTTAATTGAATAATACAATAACAATCATGATTTTTCTTAAGAATGGTTTCAAGCAATTTCAAAAACTTCACATTTAAATTTGTAGTGATTCATTGAAGAAAAAAAAAATCCTTCCATTTGATAATCAAATAATTGTTGGGTAAGTGATCATTTTTATGATCAGTCCAATATCCAATATTCAAAAAATATATTGGTGTCTAAATATCAAATGCTACGCACTTTCTGACAAACTTAAGGTTTTGGGATTAAAAAAAACTTGGTTGGGTATGTACTAATTTTGATGAGATTTGCGAAGAACTTTTTATCGTACATGAAAAGATCATAACATTAAAATCTAAAAGAGAAGGGAGCGATGATTCTTCTTTTAGGAGGATAAAATATAATCTGGTTTGGGTAAATTTTGTATGACTCACTAAAAATTTCTTTTAGATAGCTATTGAAAACTGCTACTTCCATCCCCATCAAAATTAGCAAATAAAGTGAGATGAAATATAACATATCATTATGATGAGCAAACAAGAATGGCAAGGAAGTTGAGAGATTATCTTGCTCACCTATTATAAGTCCCTTGTTTCTTTTACTGTTTGCTGCAAAAATAGCCAACATTAACAAGGGTCAGTAAACAATCAGATGATTTAACGATTCATTAATTGCGCTTAAAATACAAAAAATAATCGGTATAGAAGCCTTTTTAAAATTGTAGCTTTACTCATATATTTCACCAATCAAATTATCCAATACATGCATGAAATTATCAATAACCTGTGAATTTGATTCCAAATAATTGAAACTTTCCATACTTAGAAATCACAATTATCTTCTCATACAAAAAAAATAATATATTGAGAAAATTGAAGTTTCCATTTGATTAGGCATTAGTTTTAATGATGATAGGTGAAATAAATGTGGCAGGTGAAGAAAAGCTAAGTACCCTCCAATATATATAAACATATATGTAAGTATGCATGCGTTTATATATATTAATTACAAGTGAGAAGGAATAGTGTTATATTCATGATGCTTAGAGAGAGAAATATGGTAAGAAAATTTGAAGAAAGAAAGAGGAGAGAGAAAAGAGGGAAGATTTTGTGTACTTTATCTTATTAGTGGAATAATCATCACACCATGTGATCGTGGATGTAGCTGAATATTTGCCAAACAAGACAAATTCCCCTATTGCCTTTTTTTACACCCATTAAATGAGTGTCTTATTATTGTAGTTGTTTTTGTTCTTGCAATCTTTATTTATTTATTTTCCATAATTGGGTATCAAAACCACACTGGTACATCCAATGGGAAAAAAAAGTATCGAAATTTTCAATGTACTGATTCTTGGCAGAGACAGATCTATAAAATCTCACAAATATTAGATTTATGTCATCTATTCATTCAATAAATTGAGAGCAAGCTATAGGTAGGTTCAAAATTCCACTCTAAAAAAAATTCATATGAGAGAATCTAGAGTCACACTTGCTAGCACCTGATGCACGCCTAACGCTGATGCTTACAATGTTCAACCTGACTAACACACAACACCACCAACGTTGAGATCTACCATTGCCACCAACTTTGTAACCCGCCATGCTATTAATGTCGATGCTTGTCATTGGCACTAACGTCAATGCCTACCTTCGCTACTAATGCCAACACCTGTTATCTTCACCAATGTTAACAAACATGATTACCACCAATGACAATGATGGTAGTCCCCACAGAGGGTGGTGCTCATCATTGCTAACTAGGCAAAGCCCGTCATCATTACCAAGGTCGATGTTCGTCTTCCTATTCATCCATTTCCTCTTTTGTAAGAGCAATTGAGTAGATCATCGAAAATCTCTTGATGACAACTCCAAAGCCTCAAGACTTCTTTTACTTCCACCACAAAAGCCATCTCCCACAAATGATATCCACTACAATATATTAAGGGAAATTTAAATACACACCACACAATTCTTATGCATTTATATATCTAACACCTAAGGTTTAGTATTTACATTTATAATACTTAGGTGTCATAAATGTATGAATCAAAATGTGTATTTCACTTTAAAAAGTAACTAACTGTGGTATTTTTGATGTGATAATAAAAATTTGAGAGTTATGTATGCAAATATGAAAGATTAGGGGTTAGATATGTAAATACATAAGAATTAGGTGCGTCGTATGTATGTAAAAGACTCTAATATCAATGCATTTACAAAAGGCATCAAAGCTTACAAATTACATAACTCAAAATTAGAACTTCAAAACATACTGAATACAACTTGATTATTACAGTAAACTAACCTCTTAATAATAAATAACATTGAACTATAACGCAATAATGCTTACAAATTACAACAACTTGCATCTATGTTAGAGCAGTCGTAATCAGGAGGCTTAGCAGCTTTAGTTGTCAGCTTTTACTGTTCTAATCAAACTAGAGTTCTCATTATTCAACCTTTCTATGACAATTAAACCTATTCCCATTTTCCATCTTCAAGATTTCCAAACAAAAAGATATTAGTACTGACTCTTCTACGCCCATGATTTATTTGCACGCGCTTAGTCCAACCGCTAGTCAAACTGCAAAAATTCAACCTACAGCAGTCACCTAAGACCAGGAAAGCATAATATGACTAAAAACTAAAACTCAAAAAAGTTTCCAATGACTAGGATAAAAATCTAGTTGCAAAATAAGATTCAAAATGTTCTTCTACAATTTGTTTGCTCTCCGAAAATTCATTTTAGGTTCAATTTTATTTACCTGGTTTAGTTTTCTTCATAAGAGTTAGTTCTTTATTTATTGATCTTACAAGCAAGCGAAAAATAAGCAAGATCCATTTAATTATTTTGACCATTCGTTTCCAATCAAGAAGGATCCCGGATTTTGATTGAGGGAAGAAGAAAAGGCACGCTTTTTTAATAGTTATATGATATTATAAAATAAATACAAAACTAGAGAAAAATTCTCTAAACCAGCAAGCAATAAAATAAATAAAAGTCATTCCAGAAGCGACAACGAATGTAGCAGGCAAGGAAGCATAAAGGCACCTGCTTTGCATTTCCTCACCTCACATACGTCCTCAAAAACGTTATACCCTCTTAAATCTCATCAAATTAGCACAGTTCGATTTGGTAACGGTAAAGGTAAGAGTCGAGCAAAGAAAAAAAAGAAAAAACTATCGTAGAATAGATTAGGACAAAGCGGCTTACAGTGAAAACAGGAATCAAGGTAGTTAGTTTCAGAGCAAAAGCACAAATGATCTCCTGGCCGACTCTCATTGTAACCGCACATCCCTCCGGATTCCTTACAATCCTGACACCAATCCATACCGTTGCTCCAAGTTAATCCGAATCCCCCTTTTAACGCCTCACCGAACTGCTGGTTGCTATGAACCGGTACAGCCGCCGTCATGTCACAGCTGCCAGGCAAATTTTCTAAAAATGTCGAAGGCCCATCTCCCACTTTATAGTACGACAGTTTGGGCCTATTGAGCTTGTTCAGACATGGGATTTCTAATAGGCCGGGCGGCATCATCGGGAAACTGCAATTTACATAAACTGTGAGGTTGTGGTCGCGACTGGTGTAATTGAAAAGGGTTGTGTTAATGCTAATGTTGGTAAAGCTCATAGGGCATTCAGTTCTCATGAAATTTGAATCGACAACCACGACAATCCTGTCCTGATCATAGATGTTCTGTACGGCATAATCCTCTCCTCCAATTGTAATGGTAAGCGGGGCGACTTTGTCATCCATGTTGCAGTTAAGCTCGTATCCAGGGTAGCCGCAGTAATTCGGGCTTTCGGATAGGCGAAAGGGATAGGTAACGTTGATGTCCTTAAAGCTTCCGCAGTTTAAATATTCAGAGCAGTGAAGGAAGTATGGATTGCTGGGAACAGAAGCCGAGGGAAGAAGCAGAAGGGGGTGGAGAAGGAGGAGGCACAATGGGGATCGACACCACCGCCGTCCTTGAAGCATTTTGGCAAACACCTGTGGGGCGTATCTTTCCAACGAGAATGCAGAAATATAACAAGGAGAATAGGGACGACCGGGTCGTCGAAGTCTTTAGTAGCCAATTTTCAATGTCCACGTGGCAAGCATTTTCTTCAGGGACTCGCAAATCGGACGGTGGCATTAAAATTTACAACACGGCAAAAAGAAAATTTAAACCTCTAAAGAGCATGGATACACTCTGAGATTGGTGCGCTAATGCTTATAATGACACGTGGCTAGCTAATATACAGAAGCACGATATACCTTCGTTCTGGCGGGTCGGAGACCGAAGGACTTGGGGTCAAGTTTTGTTGCGCGATCTCGACCGTTCGTGTGGGAATGTGTGGGCAGGATTACAATTAGGTGGGAGGCTGATGAGTGCCGTGTGAACTTAAAACAAGTATAAAATCGGGAAAACTTCCAGAGGGCGAGCACAATTCCGAGCGGGCCACACTCTTACCAACCGGTGGGGTCATGTGATTACGTAAGCCGAGCAGGTGGTGCAACAACTTAATGTAAAGAATAGAATCTGAGTGGAAGTTTTCGGCTTGATTTTTGATGTTATTAATTTATAATATTTGAATTAATTCTAAGATAAAAGAAGAAAAATATAGTAAATTAATTAAATTTTACGTTTTTTTGAATGAAATTATATTTTACGCCATATCTATCTTAAATAAAGATTTGATATGGATATTTTAAGTCGGAGCTGACCATTATCATTGTTGCCTATCGCAGCATCACACAACCACCATACCAAACTTCATAAAACAGTCCGGAGCGATATATTTTAAATTCAATTAATTCTGATATGTGATTTTACTTCTTTTTTTTTTTTTTTGAGAATTTAAAGATTTATACCGTGGTGAAATTAAAAGCTTAAATTTCAACCAAAAAAAAAAAAAATCGAAAAGAGAAAATCAACATTACCTGTAGCCTTCCCTTCGCCGCAATGCTTCTCCTTAATCCCACTCTGACAAAAGCAAACAAAGCCCATCAGTCCATGCCCGCACAACCCGCCGGAATCCTCACACCTCCGGCAATCATCATCGCCGCCCACATTCCAATGCAGCTGAAATCCTTCCCTCATCACTCCCACCACATCCCCACTCAAGAAACTCTTGCTCCACAGCACCGCCGCATGCATCACCGGCGCCACCACATTCTCCGCGCAATCTGCACCTGGGAACACCATATCTTGCGTCAACACGTACGATGATTTCCCCCCATCACTACATCGCAAGGGAACATCTCCCGTAACTGATGTTTGAGAGCAGTTGTAATAGAAGAAGAGCTCGGTGTCTTCGGAAGTGAAGGTGAGAGTGGAATCATAAAAATTGGAGTAGATGGATAGGTTGTAGAGCGGATGGGGGCAGGTGGCATCGGCAATGGCGTCAGTGTCGATGAGCGTGAGGGTGTGTGAGGAGATGTTGAAGGATGTGATGGTGTAGTTGCCGGCGTTGGGTAGGGAGAGGATGATGTTGTTGTTGTGGCAGTCGAGCATGAGGTCGGGGTAGCCGCAGTGGGAGGAAAGGGAGTTTGGGGAATCGTGGGGTAGCCAGAAGGGGTAAGGGATTTGGAGGGAGGAGTTGCCGCAGGAGGAAGGGGAGCAGTTGGGGATGGGAGAGGGGTGGGAAGGAGGGAGGAGGGAGAGGAGGAGGGTGGTGAGGAATGGGGAGAGGGAGAGGGCTGTGTGGGGAGGAAGATGGAGTTTGGTGGAAGGAGACATGGTGTTTGGTTTTGAGTTTTTTGGAACGTGAAGAGAGGAAAGAGGTGAGGGGGCGTATTTGTTAATGGTAAATAGGGGTTTGGTCAACTGTTCCATATGGATATGTGGTCCAGCGTTTCTTCATGCCTCTGTTAGTCTACTGCCTCGCAATCCGAAGATGAAGACGTAATATTTCTCCATTATAAAGCAAAAGAAATTATGAATGTGTACTTACAAAATGTTTTTTAGGAGGGGGAGACATTGGTTTTCTAGTTTTCACGTTTCATTTTTTTTTTCAAATTCAATTTAAAATGGACATTGAAAAGCTTTTTAACTTTGTGAATCAAAAGAAAAAGAGAGATTTTTAATTTTGATGTGTCTTCCAGAAATCTTACCACGAGGTACAAATTTTCATGAATTTTAAGCGAGAAATATTTTAAATTAAATTTAGAATCCTAGGGCCCGATTTCAATAAGGTTATTGCAGCACTAATGGTTTTGATATGACGAACTCAATGACGCTGAAAATGATTCAATTAGAGTTCAAATAACCTTAGATCAAACAACTGATATGTTTAGAGTCAAATCGAAAAGCTTAATTGGAAAAATCCAACGAGCACAAATTATTTAATTTTGATATCATTAAGATACTTAAAAATTGAAAAAATCACTTGTGATAAGGGAATAAATATGGACCGTTTAAAGTAGTATTTTGAGATCCATATTAAATTTCTGAAAATAAACTTGTATTCTTAATTTGGAGGAGAAAAAAAAAAAAAGTGAGTCAACAACTCAAACATTACCCATAAAAAGAAGTGTATGTGAACAACAATCAATCGTTGTCGACCGCCACTAGTAATTGTTATAACCAATTATTACTATTATAGCAATCAAACAACAAATAATCTTGATGTGAATATAATAGTGGATAATGTCATCACTAGAAAGACCCCTCAAAGGCATCTGACAGAAATGTTTCCACTCATATCCCTATAAGACACACCCATGAGTTAACCTTAATGGGAAGTTAATGGTATTCATTTCCTCATTAGAAAGACCCATTGAAGATAAGTGGTAAACAAAATCTCCACTCATAGTCATTAAAGGCATGCCCATGAGGTAACATCCATTGGACGTTAGTAGTGGATAGAGTCCTCCAAAATAGGGTCCATGAGAGCAATTAGTTGAAAGGGTCTTAACTCAAAAATATCTCAAAAGGTTATAAGCCTTCAAAATTATAAGTTTGCTTAAAAAACATTAGAATTTTATAAGCCTTACAAGGTACAAATGCACTAAAAAAAAACTCTCAAATGACTTTAAATATCAAAAGTTACACATATGCTAAAAAATCTCAAAATGCTACAAGTCATAAAATGTATAAGTATGCGAAAGAATCATTGAAGACTATAAATCTTAGAAGGAATATGTATATTAAAAAATTTTAGAATGTTTCAAGCTTTAAAAAGTAAGTGTATCTAAAAAGATCTAAAGTCCTCAAAAAGTATAAATATATTAAAAACCTTAGAAGACACCAGTCTCAAAAGATGCATAATATTTCCTTATACAAAGAATATGCACTAATTTTTATTGTAGGTTTTTACTTATTCAAGAAATTGAATATTCATCCAAAAATCTCATAAGGCATAAACTTACAAAGAGTTCTATGTCATTGTACTTCCATTAGGGGAAACATCTCCTTACAATATATTTAATTTTTAATAAGAATTATAATAACTTCGTCTTCTATAAGGGGCGATTTTTAAGAAATCAATACTCTTACATGAAGATAAAATGTTTGTAGTGTATCAACATTGTGAATGTTAGTTGAGCTCGAATTTTCAAAAGAAGTCTTATTTTAAAGCAATCCAAATGAGATGATAAAGCATTAAAACAATATCATCAAAAAAAAAAAATTGTATCTCTTAATGCCTTCATAATATTCCTTAGCTTCCATTAGATAGTTTCTTCCTTTTTTTTTTTTAGATTTCAAACATATGTCTTACATAGCCAATATGTATATTTGTCAGCAAAGTCTAATTGAAGACCAGGTTTGCCTATGAAGAATATTCTCATGCTATTGATAGAGAATAACCAAGAATTAATCAGACAACTGGTGACCTCAAGTCAATCTTCTCTCACCTCTTACTCATTTAGAGCATAGGGTCTAGTCTTAAAATTTTCTTAGAGGTTACTATAGAGGTCTAGTGGATGGTTGAGACCTAAAAATTAAAACATAAACCAAATATTTACTCTCTTTGATTTGAAATATGCTTAGCCTTAATCCTAAACTCATAATTTATTATGGAGTTGATCTTTGCTAAGTTATTAAAATTAAAGGCCGAGTACCAATAAAGGTTTTGAGTATGCCTTTATGAGATCCATTGAGCTTGGAGACTTGAATTAGGAGAGATCCTTAGTTCACCTGATGGATTATGTTGGTTTGAGCTACCCTTTGACTTAATTAACTTTGGAGAGACCCTGTGGTATCGACCTAGTCAGGCCTAACTCTTCCTTTTAACTCAAGCATTTGGTTCAAGATGAGCTCACATATATTTGAAGTTTGTTCCAAACCATGCTCAAATATAATTGAAATTAAAATGAAAGAAATAATTGATAAAAAAGAAATCATGTTAAATATGGAATTAAAAGCTTAAATAAAAAAATATAAATTTTAAATTTTAATCAAAATCAATAAAAAGATCACATTTAAATACAAATCCCACAACATGCCTTGCAATCTTAAACAAATTCTAATTAAACATAAACAAAGGCACCTATTTAACAAATTTATAATTAAATACAAACAAAACTAAAGCTTGAAAAACCTAAAAAAATTCCTAATTAAAGCTTCAACCAGGGCTATCAAAACGGCTCGTTGTTCGCGAACAGCTCGTGTTTGGCTCATTTGCTAAGTTAACGAGCCGGAGACGAACAACACGAAATTTTTCGTTTGTGTTCGACTCGTTTTGACTCGAAATAATACTATATATATATATATATATATATGTATGTATGTATGTATATATATTTGATGAGTAGTATTTTAAAAAATTTAATTGACTATATGGCTACAAAGATTTATAATCAATTAAAGTATTAATTAAGAAAATAGAATAAAAATTATTAAATTAGATTCAAATGACGTTTTAAATATTACCACAATCTTTAACATCTTATGGCTACATTATTAGGGTTGTCAAAACGACTCTTTGTTTGTGAACGACTCAGGTTCGGTTCGCTAAGCAAACAAGCCGAACACGAACACACTTTTTGAGCTCGAAATATAAACGAGCCAAATGTGGGTTGAGCCCGGACTCGCTCGTGTTCGACTCGTTTACACCCATAGTTTCAACAAATTCTTAATCAATTTAAATAAATTCTTAATTAAATTAAAACAATAGATAAAAGAAACTTAAAAACATAAAATAATTAAAACAA